CCGGTGGGTTATCAAAACTAATCGTTCGACTTCCATATATCATTCCTCGACTTATGATTCACCTTTCGTGCTTGTTTCGTTTCAGGGCTTACAGCGTGCGTCAGCGCGCGTCCCCCAGTTAATCAACACGGATGTGCGTTGTGCGCGAGACGTTGCAAAAAGAGGTGGCTTAACTGTGCCCTGAAACGAGGAACGAAGTGAAAGGGGTTACTAACCTGCGCGAGCTGCCCGCAAAGTTTCGCTGCGTTCGTACTGCAAAATACTTCGAATTTCTCGCCTCTTAATTCGTCGATTTTCGCCGCCAAGAATCGTTCTCGTTCGCTCGTGGCCATCTGTGGCCACGTTTCTTATTGCTCGTCGACATCTCCATTCATCTTAGCTCTTAGGGTTCTAGGGCTTCATTCCATACTTCTCTCTACGTTTCCTTCCATGACCGGCTCGTCTTGGCTCGTCCGTGCTCGTATAACTCGCTTCTTGGCTTAAGCTTTCTTAAGGAATTGCTACTGACTTCCACACTTGCCGTCGCTGATTCGCTGACTTGCGGAATCCTGGCTGGGCTTCGCCTTCGCTGGTCCACGAGGCCCTACGGCTTCATCTGCACTGCTTGCACCTTCCATGCTTGCCTCTCCTCTGTTCTATAGCTTGCCTCTTACCATGACTCACTGCAGCTGTTCTCACGCCTTGCTTCACTGACATGAGCACACTGAGTGCTGTCGGAAGTTCGGTTGCGGTTACTCGGCTTTTACCCCCTCTGTGATTTGATTGGCTGGGCTATTCATGGTTCAAATAGATCCAATCGGCTCTTCGGCTGCTGTCTTCCGCAACTTTACCCTCGCTATGACCGTGCAGCCACAACTCACTCGCACTCCTACTACACCAGATATATTTATTTGCCTTTCTGCTTAGTACTACTTTCGTTCTATGCAGAGTAGACTCTTGACGTAATGTCTCATCCATTACCGATTCTTAGTCTGCCATAGGAAGCTTCAAACGTATTAATCAGTACTGAACCAGGCCATCATGGCGTGTAAGGATCAGCATAAACAGATACAGGCCGCACATAATGCTCCCTTGCTACACGAACAAACGTAGTCAGAAGAAAGGGACACTACTGCACGTAACTGAACGTATATTTTCGTGACTCGCGAGACCGCTAAAAGCCCCTACAAAATCTTGACAGGACTCAAATCGCGCCTATCGGATTCGGTTTGTTGTCTTCCGCAACCTTAACCACGCTACGGCCTGTCCAGCCACAGCTGTCGCTAATCCCGCTATACCCGATGTCATCGATTATTACCTCATGAAAGAAAGAAGCTAGCTTCACTTTCTTAGGCCCTTATCCTCATGCATTGCTATTGATTTCCACCCTTGGTGTCTCGTCCATTACCGATTCTCAGTCTGCTACATGCACTTGCCATTCTTCACTTATAGTGGACGAGGTTGTCTAACTTCCCGTCGGTGGTACGGCTTCAGCATGTTATCTCATCGATCTTGTCATGACTGTGGTCGCCGCGTTCGTCTTTCTACCACTATCGAACCACCGCGGTGTCCTGCCTGTCGATTGGCGTCTTTGCCGCCTCTGGTCGAAACGCGCCTCTGCTTAGGTTGCCATGTTCCGATTCCTGCACTTTCAAACGATCTAGAATTGGCATAAACAAGTACAAGTCACACGTAATGCTCATACCTGGAAGACGGTTCGTCGGCTGACACAATCCTTCCGGGCCGTCGACCCAAGAGAAGTCGTAAATTTTCGAAGACAGATTCACTTTTATAACGAGCTCATGTATCGCGTGAACTATCTCCTTTTTATGCATGCCCCGCTCTTCTCAATTCATTTTGACTTTATGGATATATTTTCGCTCCCGTGCTCGTCCAATCATCACACCCAACGCAAAACTTTGCTACGTCACTCAGTCTTGTATATAATTGGCTAGTCCTAGCAGGCATACGTGTGTACCTTTCCGGTGGGTTATCAAAACTAATCGTTCGACTTGCATATATCATTCCTCAACTTATGATTCACCTTTCGTGCTTGTTTCGTTTCAGGGCCACAGCGTGCGACAGCGCGCGTCACCAGTATATGGACTGTTCTGCCACGCACACTTCCCATTCGCCTTCGCGGCCCTGGGTACCTGCCTTATTTTCGCTTTTTTTGGATTAGATCATCTTGGCTTAGGCTTGTAGGGTTATTTGCTCGTATTCATGCAGGTTGTCCTGCTTTCATTGCTTCATCATCTGCTTGTCGCCCTCCATCCTATTGCAACACAATGTTGTTTACTGCCACTATGATGTCCTCCTAGCGCGTTTATTCTTCCATCCATTGCCCCTCCTCTTACTTTTGTATCTGTGCCCACACAATGTTATCTAACCGACTTTGCTCTGGCTGTGGACGTCAAGTGCGTCTGGCTACAATCCACATGGAGCCATACAAATGAGTCTTCCCTCGATGAACCACAGCTTGCAAGGGCTATTAGAACGAATACTCCTGTTGACGAAGACGAGGAAAGCACTCAAATCACCTGGGCTGATACGGTGGATGACACCAAGAGCTTGCCACAGGCAAGCACTCCTACTCCAGAAAGGCGTTCACAAAGGTCAAGAAAGGCTTCATACGCCAATATACTTGCACAATCCAAATAAAAATGCGGCCAGTGATTCGAAAACATGCTTACATCATTTCATGTTGCGGCCATTAGTCATCGTTGGGGCTTTCTGTCATTGGTCCATTTGGTTTCAGACGCTTTTCCGCTTCATACGAAACATTTGAACACAACTTTTCACTTTTAAATCCTATTTTCCTTTGATTTCGTTTCAGGGCTGATGCGCGCGACGCGCGCGTCTTCCAGTCCATTATTAGCATTAGTTGTTATCTCAAAAGGGCCTAGCTCGTATAAGCCAGCTCGGCAACGGTACGGGTAAGAGTAACAAATCAAGTACAGTACTGTAGTATCTGAGATACAAAATTAATTTCTGTTTAATTTAGCAAATGATTGAGGTTGCGGAAATCGTGGTAAATCTTGGGATAAGTATTGTCCCACGATCTTTTGATTTGTGAGATTATCAAGGTGGACGAAGATCGTAGTGTTTCTTATGATACCAATAGTCTGATGGGGGTTTGATCCATGAGAAGACCCTTAGAGTTGCTAAAGAATCGTGACATTTCTTAGGACAGGGATAGTCGTATGTTCTTGCGGTTAGCAAGAGAGTCAGAGCTCGCAGAAACCGTGTCTTTTCCTATGATATAGATAATCGGACAATCGTTTGGTTCGTAAGAGCCTAATGCGCGCGGAAACCGTGGTGTTCCCTAGGATCTACCTTGTCCAACGATGTGTATGCTCCCCCGAAGGGTCTTAGATTATAAGAAAATCCGTGGTTTTTCCTATATAGCGATAATCAGAGGACCCCCGGCTTCGGGAGAAAATCAGAGTTCGCGGAAACCGTGGTTTTTCCTGTGATAAAGAGAATCGGACGATCTTTTGTTTCATAAGACACTAAGGAGCGCGTCAACCGCCTAATAACTCCTAGGAGCATAGGTCCTCTGGCAATTCTCCATACATGTTTATGACAGTTGTACTATAGGCTGCGTCGATCAAAGATATTGCAAGCCTCTTGATTGGCGAGGTGGGTTTCCGTGTGTTTTGCACGGTCTATGCTACTCAAGGTGGAGAAAGGAGTGGGAGAGGACCAATCACACATTATGTTGCCCCCCGAACAAACTAGGCTAGATTGTATAGTTGTGCGCAATTCCAATCAACTCTGTTGAGACGGATCAATACCAAGCATCGTCGTAAATAAACATCAGTGGTTACGCAGCACGAAGTTCTCCACCACTGAAACCTATCACACATCACGTGAATTTCCTAAAAACCTCTCGATTCCGAGTTGGCAGGGCGATTTTATGTTTGCCAGGTTCCTCAGACCAATACAGATTTCGGATAAAGATTTCCCCGACCGCGATCCTATCATCATCAACAACTTGGCCGCTGAGCAGTCCGACTCAAAATCCTTTCGTCAAGGATCGACTATCATTTCATGCTGTGCCAACAATCTACACCGTTTATGCCATTGGTCTGACATGTGTTGAGGATGGTATCACGATTTGCAAGGGCCAAGTACTGGATCTAAAGCGTAAAGAATTATCGCCACCTCCAGATGCAATAATACTGCTAAGTCAGTGGAAACCTGACGGTGTTATCCGGCGCAACAGGTGGCTTTTCGACGTGGATAGCCGTGTGCTAGAACAAGGAGTCAGGATAGGATCTCTAGCGCTCCTTATAGGGTACTCCGATACAAATACTAACATCGGTCAAACTTAGTAGAGAATCGAAGAATTGCCGACAGACGACACACATATTGTGCTCTCCAATATCGTGCCGAGCAAGCTCGTCGGGTGTATCAAATTGAACGTCGCAAGAGATACAGATGTTGTGCTTCACGCCCCGGTGCTCGTCAAGCTCAACCAATTTCGCGAAATCTAGTGGTGGGGAGCAGATATTGCAAATATTGTGATATTGAGAATTACTGGTATGCTGTAGCCTGACGGAAAAGGGTTTAAAGTTGATTTCGCATGATCAAAATTTGTTCGGCGTTTGCTTTTGGAGTCATGAAGACCATCACAGAACAAAATGTGGGGCTGGTAAATGAAATTGGGTCTTATCTTTGCAAATAAGACAAACTGGCCAATGAGTAGTGGACCTGTTGTTCGAAATCAAGAAAATTGTGATTATTCAACAATGCCGGTTGATTTGACAACAATTGGCGGCTTTGCCTTATTCAGCTTGATGCTAAATCCAACGACAATGATTTCTCATCTCAGAATACAGACACAGCAATACCGGCACGATGGGGCGTTGTCCCGGGTAATAGGGGTAGAATGGCATAAATAGCACGAACGCCGTGCACAATACCTTTTGCTCTAACGCTTAGTCGATGAGCTCTATCTTACACTGTTCCTACTTCACGTTCGTTTTATCACCGCTACAAAGCTAGATCTATCAATAATGGTCCGGTTTAAAACTATTTTGCTTATTGGAGTACGTTCTATTTATTCTGCTCGCTTAGTCTATCGAGACGCTGGTATGATAGACATCTTGCTCACAACACATTACAGGCAGGCGGAAACCTTGGGCCCCACGCCATCCAAGCATTGCTCGGCTCTTCGTTTCGAGTCACCATTCTCTCCCGTCAGGGATCAACATCCAAAGTCCCCGAAGGCGTGCCTGTCGTCAGGGTCGATTACAACAACCCGGACTCGCTTATATCTGCCATGCAAGGCCAGGATGTCGTGATCAGTATGGTTGGTGGTCACGTAGCCGGGGACCAAAACAAGTTTATTGATGCTGCCCTCGCTGCCGGAGTGAAGAGATTCTTCCCTAGCGAGTTCGGGCCATATTCGCGAGACCCCAAGTTTGCGGAGCTGAATCCAGTTGTTTTACCGGCAAAAGCAGGCACAGTCGACTACCTCCGATCAAAAGAGTCTGAAATGTCCTGGTCGAGCCTTGTGACTGGTGCATGGTTTGACTGGTCTATGAAAGTTGGATTTTTCGGCTTCAATCTTGCTTCTAAGTCTGTCACTCTCATCGATGATGGGACTGCGGTATTCACTACCACTACATTGTCCACAGTCGGCAAGGCGCTGGCTGCAATGCTCGAACACCCAGATGAGACAGAAAACAAGTATGTTTTCATTTCATCCTTCAACGTCACCCAGAAAGATATCCTTGGGGTAGTTGAAAAGATCGACGGCCAGAAGTGGACTGTAAAGCACACGTCATCCGAGGAAGTCATCGCAAATGGTAGGAGGAGGCTCGCAGCCGGCGATTTCGCAGGGATCATGGATTTGACTAGAGGTGGCGCATTTGGTAAACCGGGTCTGGGCGATTCGAGAACGCATGGGCAGCTTTGGAATGACCGGATAGGGCTACTCAAAGAAGATATCGAGAATGCCGTTAGAGATGCGCTCCAAGGGCCATGATATTACTAGTCGACTACAGTAATCTAGGTATCTCTACCTACCTTTGCATTGAAATCTGACTACTTTAGTTATTTTCATCAATATGTTATGTGCTCTGTTGGTAGCTAAAGAACTCCCATCGGTGGGATGATACTCGTCCGTCGTTCTATTATACCACAGATACGTAGAAGACATGATGGCGACCTGTACCTTCACTAAACCTAGCTATTTTGCTCTGAATCACGAATCTTCCCGCAGACCAGGTCAATCATGACCGCAAAAGCCCCGGCCCGCGAAATACAACGGCCAAGAGCCCTCCAATCAGGCCTCAAACACCCTTATCCCATCCTCTCGGCCCTGTGCTGTAATCCATGTATCCGCCAGACATACCCCAGTCCAGGCCATCGATAGCACTTCCATCTCCTTCTCCTTGCCTTCACGGTAGAGCCAAACTAATGCCGTAGTAACGGCCAAGTCGCGAAATCACGGGGAACACCATTGCTTTCTCAATCATGATGTAGCCTAACCCGACGAGTCGCCACATTCCTCAGCACCCCATCAATCCCGAGGCCTTACAATTGCAACAGCCCCAGGCCCCCAAAGGCCACCAACGCTGCCCCTCCACACAGTCCCCAAACCCCGTTGTCCCATCCTCTTGGCCCCTGTATCGTAACCCATGTATCCACCACACATACAACAGTCCACGCGGTCAATATAACTCCCATTTCCTTCCCCTTTCCTTCACTGTAAAACCAAAACAGGGCGCCTGCCACGGCTATGTCACGTATTCCAAGGAATGTCATTGCTTTTTCGGTTATGTCGCGGCCTTCTGGCGTGGTAGGGATGACCCCGAGAGACCCTGCAGCAACGGACGGGGATAGACAGCCCCAGGCTCCGAGAGAAAAGACAGTCGTTGTAAGGCCAAGGCCGATAAAGTGCCATGTTGAACGAGTGAAGAGACGATTAGGGAAAGCCATTGTGCATCGGTTGCGAACAATTGAATGTTGATTTCTTTATTTAGCAGGATAGGGTGAAAGAGCTTTTCTTTTGGATAACCAAGCCACGCAGGTGGGAAATCCCACTTCACATAACCTAACACCTGCTTCCGGCCAGTTATGTCACTGCGGAGAGTTTAGAAATGCTCTAGCTCTATCCAAGGGAGACCCCTCCGGCTTGATGAAAAATCAAAATCATCTGCAGTGACGCAAACTTGCCAAGAGTTTCAAATCCAGGGTACTAGTTAGAATCTTGGAGTAAACATAAAATAGCGGTGAACTCAAACTGCGTTCGGAAGCCAAGTGGGCCTTCCATGGGTGGGTTGGACAGGGATTGTTCACTAATCATTAATGTATAATAACGTAGTTCCCAAGCGAGTGACGCACCCAAGCGAGTGACGCACACCGCCTACCCCTACATTTTTAAAATGATATTAGACTACTAAAAACACTATTAAATTCAAAAACTATAGACTAGGGCACCGAGTAATTGAATGGCCAATACTATTGCAGCCGCTACATCTCCGCGGTGCACGTTTGGCTGGTGGGGGTGGCAAAATAGGTGATTCAACCGGTGCGGGCGGATGCTGTTCAACAGGTTCCACTGGCTGCACTGGCTGCACTGGTAGTCGCAAGCCCTCTCCAACTGTAATACCCTGTTCGCATCGAACGAGACGATTCGTTCTTGCTCGCTTTTGCCGTTTCTTCTCATTCGCAGCCCGTAAATCAGCAATTTCCTGCGCTTGTAGCACATTGGTATGCATTGAGACACAGTAACCCTTGATAATCTGATCTAGGATAATCTTTGATGGGGAAGGAGGGCTTCTTGATCGTTTTCTAAGTAGTTTTTTGAGTGAAGAAAACTGTCTTTGTACTTGTTTGACTGTTTTTGGCGTTTTCGGACTGAACTCGCTCGATCGGCTGCTTGGGCGGCTAGGTGGTGGTGTAGGTGTTCGGAGAGAAATATTCAGTTTTGAAAGCACCCGTTCAGGATCTAGTGGAACTAGACCTGCTGCTGTGAAACTATGTTGAATAGTCTCTAGTTTAAAGGTCTCTTCTCGTGCCTGAGGATATTCTGCTAGGAAATCTAGCTTATCAATATGGTTAAATCCTAGCCGTGCCTGATTGGTAATCAGACGACTATAGGCACGCTTAAGAACAGCAAAACATCCAATATCTAGAGGTTGGAGAAGATGGGATGAATGTGCTGGCATGCAGAGTGGGATAATTGAGTTTTCAGCGCAAATTCGGTCGAATTGAGGCGTGAGATGGCTACCATGGCCATCAAGAATCAGAAGGCGATGCTTTCCTTTCATCCGACTTGAGGTGAATGGGATGAATAGATTTTGAAGCCATCGGACGCTAATTTCATCTGAAGTCCAGCCATTAGGTGAAACTTCAAATCGCCAATCTTTTGGAAGGCCATCAAGCCAACCGATGTTGTGGTTTTTGGCTTTGAAGATTATACATGGTGGAAGAGCAAAACCTGCTGCACTGATTGACTCGATTGTAGTCACCCATTCACGATTTCCTGGCTGTAGAACTGCCCGACGACCATAGTACTCGGCTCGAGTAACCACCTTTTGTGCTGAAATAAGGCCCATCGCGAATCCAGTCTCATCAAAGTTGTAGATATCATCTGATTGGATGCCGTTCTTATTGATCACATTTTGAACGGTTTTAAACCACTCACGTAAGACCTTCGGGTCCTCGTTTTGAGCACGTTGATAGTCATAGCGTCTTGAGAAGCATGTTCGAAGCTCTTTTTGGCGATTGATAAAATTTGATGCCCAGTTTTTTCCAACTGTTGGTGAGGGGGTGTTTCCGCGGTCGGCAAGTAGAATATTCGCTATTTCTCTCACAGTTGAGGGCCTAGGCGCTGCACCGCGTGAATCCATTGAGAGTATCCACTTTACAAGCGATTCTTCTTCAAATCCAGTCAATTTATGACTATTAGCGCGTGTATTCGCGCGAGAAGACTGGCCCGCACGTCGGCGGCGGATTGTAGCCTCAGATACGCCGTATGTCTTGGCTGCAGCGCGAAGACTAGGAAATTGTCCTTTTTGAAGAGCCTGAATGGCTAATAAGATCCTGCCCTCACGATTAACCGAATCCTGGCTTGATTGAGCGTGTTTTGGTGGCATGGTGGGTGGTTGAAAATAGTGGGTACGCGTCAGGACGCCATTTTTGGTGGGGTGCGTCACTCGCTTGGGTGCGTCACTCGCTTGGGTGCGTCACTCGCTTGGGAACTACGTTACCATCAATCAGCATCAATCAGCATTAATCAGCATTAATCAGCATTCTTCAGAAAACCGAGAACCCTCACAGGAAGCAGATCAGGCCGACAGTAACAGGTGGGTCGGGCCACACCTGACCGGAAGATCTATTTTCCAGGTGTAGAGCATAGATTAGTAATCTATTATTATTGGTCAGGTCAAATACCAACTTCTTGGCAATACCAACCCTTTCAATCTCCACACCCCTCCTCCTCTCCACCAATCGTGAGCCCTCCCAACTCCCCGCCTATCTTCATCAAGAACAAATTATTAATCTATTATTGTCGAATCCTAACTAGTTACACCGTACAGGTCCCTGAGTCAAGATGGTGCGTTTCCTGGGGTCCCACGCCCCATACAAGCAATACGTGGCGGATGCGAAGGCCGGTATGCTAGAACTACCCGCGTATGAGAAGGTGAGTGGAAACATCTCTGAGTGGGGTTTCTGATTGTCCTGGGCATTGAAATATATATTGAATGCGCCATCTGTGCTTCTAAAAAATCCTAATAGTGACCTTGAATATATGACTAATATGCATTTCTAGGATGATGATGGTAGCGTTATTGTCCTTCCTGGAGAACTTTTCTGTCGATTCGAGGATTGCGATCACCAGGTATGCTATATGATCTTAAAATATTCTGAATCTATTACTAATGTATTATCAGAAGCAGTATTCTCACACTGGCAACCTCAAGACGCACCTCACCGGTCATCAAGGCGTGACGGTCTCTGGTAAGTACGCTAGTAAGGGCCGCCACGCTATCAAGGAGATGGACGAGGTCAAGGGTATTAACACATTCCTAATTTATTCTTGTTATACTACTAATATATGATTTTAGCTTGGTACACTGCTCTTGTTGCCCGTATCTCTACGAAGCCGCGACTTCCCTTCACGAAGGGTAAAGGCAAGAATCGGAAGGTAAGTTATCTCTGATTTATTGGGAACAGATTGCTAATATATTATAGATTTCGGTTAAAGCCGTGAGGGATTTCCTCGCCACTAAGCATATACACGATGACTGCAACGCCTGTATCACTGCTAATATCAGTAAGCGATTCTTAATATATCCTTAATGCATTGCTAATATATCATAATAGAATGCGGTACTGCCCCATTCACCTGCGAGTATCTTTCTCGCTTTTGGGATGTGGACGCAGACTTTGAGCGTCTCGAGGAGGAAGCATAAATTTACAATTATTCTTAATTCCTTGACCAAAATTGTTAGAGTTAATAGAAGTGGGCATATTTTAACCTACCTACGCTTTACCTGTCTATCTATCTCATCTAATTCTTGCTGCCGTTTACGATTAGCAAGCTGCTTTTCGAGCAATTGTGCCTTTAAGTCCTCCTCTCGGAGCTGATGTTCAAGCTTTTGGATAGCAAGACTATCATGCTCTTGTCGTAAATTGTCAGAGGCAACCCGTTGTAGGCTTTGAGCTCTGTAGTATATTAATAAAATATTCTTAAAACATCATAGAGTACTAACCTTGGTGTAGGTGTTCTTGTTCGGCGAGGAGTAGCGGTAGGGGATCTAGTACTAGATCTCCTTGGTACACTAGCTGAACGTCGAGAAATTGGTACACCTGAGGTCGTATACCGTACACTTGTCTCATCAGATGCGAAGAACTCATCTATGTTCGATGAGCTCTCAAGCTGATTGAGTTCCTCTTCTAGTAGCCTCTCCTGGCGCCTTTTTTGCTCTATAGAAATGATTAATAATGTATTGTATATATTCTTCGTATCAACTTACCCTTTGCTAGGTGACGATCGAATGCTGCATGAATACCATTCATCCGATACCTTTGTCGAATTCCGGTTACTTGACGAATAGAATAAGCTTGCATGCGGTTCTTATCATGGGCAAAAGAACTAGAAATATTGTATTAATATACTATTAATATATTACGACGAAATTAATAAGAACTTACTTCAAAACCCCTTGTAGTAGTGAAAGCTGAACACCAGTACTATTGATCATATGGTGCGATTGCTCCACTGCATTTGTGTTCTTTCGAAGTCCTTCGAAAATCACATCAGGTATCTGACTCCAAGCTTTATTCAAAGCTGCCGCAACGTAAGGCAGTTTTTTATGGCGAGCCCATTGCTGAATGACAACAGATGATTCATGCTCTAATAATAAATTAATAACCTATTAAGAACCGATTAGAGTATACTTACCGATTATCCAGTCTAAAGCTTGAATATACTCCTCTCGATTCGGAATATCGACCACTGCTCGCATCCTTTCCCTACATCCAGGAGCGACCTGTTGCCCACGAAGTGCTCTATCAATACCCCTGTAGAAGTGGGCTCTGCAGAAGACAACGAAGTGTCGGATAAGATCATCAGGCGATACTTGAAGAGTACTCTTATCAGCGAGAAAGTCTCTAAGACCTATAACGTATTAGTAATATATTAATAGTATATGATCTATTTCTCACCTCCGTATTGCTTTGTATCCATATCCAGAACGACAGCATGTAGCCCTGTACGATGGATTGGATAAAAGTAGAACTGGCGACTAAGCACACGCTCTATGCACTCAAAAAGCCGAGTAAATAGGAGATAATAGGTTGAATGGGTCTCGGAAACGACAATCACACGTGCTAGTGTAAAAACTAGAAGAACATTGTATTAATAAAGAACTATTAATATATTAGGGTAATATTTACCTCGGTCTTGCTCAGGTATATATTTTGAAAATGTAACCTCTCGCATTGACCTTTCTTTGAATCGTTTAAAAGACATGTCAATCTCTACCGATTCAGATTGGATGAAAAGCTCAGCCATGTCAGATGTGAAGCAAATAACCATAAGGTCAGGGACTTGATAGATATGCTGAACGTAGTCCTACAAAAGGTTAATTATAATATATTCTCATTATATCACGACCTATTATCTTCATACCTTTAAAGGAGGATCCTTTTCCATCTCAAAGATCAAACCATTGATATCCTGTCCATGAGGAAATCGTAGGAGTCTCTCCTTTCGAATGAGTGTGCTGATCCGGTCTAAATTAGCAAAGCTTTCATGGACATTGAGCAGCGACTCGCTATTATTGTATCGCTTGCATAGACCCCGAAGCTCAGGGCTAACGAGAAAACGTCCTAGGATAAAACATTATTAATATTTCTTTAATATATTCTTAACATATTAGAAAGAACTTTACCTGTTGTTAATGCAGGATTGTTCTGTAGGCGGATTATTCGTACTAATCCGTCTATAATTGCGGGTGGAGGCTTCGATGGAGGTGGCGGAGGGTGCATATGAATCCCGGTTGAGGTAAAAACCCAAAATGGATTGGACGTGAGGTCTATTGGAATAAACCAATGGAACTCAACGGAGCATTTGTGCCTTTTAATTTTACCAAGCCCACGTGTATGGTCAAATTCTATAATATAGTAATTAATAATATGTTCTTAATGTATTAAAGATATATTCCTTACCACAATAGTCTCCACGATGACGATTTGTGTCGATATAACCACAGGTTTGAATTTCTCCCTGGACCTCTCCATCAAGGATTCGCCTAAGCAATTCCCTGTCGATACCAGAGTCAGGGCGCACACATGATGCAAAATGAGACCTTGGACTTTCATATGAATTAGAGCAATAGATATAAAAGTCAGATCCACCAATAACACTCTGATATATAAATAACAGGTTAGAAATATTTTAAGAATATATTAGTAGTATATTACTTACATCCTGAACCCATCGACCGCGCGGCGAACAAGTATCCTTCCAAGATCCACATGAAGTGCGATTGATCTTGAATTGGCGCATCGTAGATTGGTACAACCTATATGTTGCTGGTTGTAGAGGGTTTTGGGTATCACTGAATGCGATATGTTGGCGAAGCTCTTTGATTCGCTGCCAAATACCCTCAGTAACATGCGAATGCACCATTTGCTTGAGCTCAGGATCTGTAAATTCACACATTTTTATGCCTGTACATCTGTAGAGGCTGTGTAGAAAAGCGACCCTTTCTCCAAAGATAGAATCATGCTGGTTACGTCTGTTTCGATAGGCTTGTTTTGACAAGTATTGCACCTAATATATTATTAACATATTATTAATATATTAATGGGATATTAATATACTCCTTCAACTGACTGCTCCACTGCAAACAATGACCGATCAGGCACATTGATCACATATGTGAAGCCATCCGGGTCTGTCCGGGGATATTCAGGTAGCGCTGAAGTATATTCGATAAAGCGTGTTCGAATCGGCGAGCGCTTGTCGTGTAAGATAGTCCGTAGGAATTCCTAAAGACACAATATATTATTAATGTATACTTAAATATTGAGAATATATTATCGTCATGCCGGAGGTTCATCTAGAGCATCTGTAGGTCCAGGGGTCCATTGAACAGTAGCAGGAACTGCACTCTCCTCACTATTAAGCTCCTGCTGAAGCTCCTGCTCAAGGGATTCACCGATATCTTGGTCGTCCTCTAAAAAGGCTGCCATACTGGGTGTGGGTGCAAACACTAGAATGAGATGAAGGAGAACTACCCCGCCTGACCCATGGTTCAGTGCGAGTGAATAATACATCAGTAATTTATTAAATGTATTCGCCAGAAATAAATTACAGGTGCCAAGAAATTAGGTGTGGCCTGGACTTATCGGGCTTATCAGGTGTGGCCTGACCCACCCGCAGGTGTTCAGGTCACATATACACTCGAACCCTCACGTAACGGGATGTCCCGGACGATGACTAAGGATATCTGTTGACATCATATAGCCTCAAAGTAGGTTGGTGATGATCCACAGAGATTCAACTTCGCCTTCAAGCCATACACGGGCCGATCATATCATCCTCAAAACCAAACTCAATCAAAAAGTCTCCGAAGCTTCCGAGCAGCTTCCGAGCCTCTTCCATGGTTCGTTCACTCGGCATTTCTAGGGTGTTGCTCCGTGCAGGAATGACAACTATAAATGGGCTAGCAGGCCGCACTACGTTTTTTTCTATAACATCAAGCTAAATCTCACATCCATCAACTCAAGGTTCAGCATCTGCTCGTCAGCCATTCATTATGGAAACCAAGAAACTTATTGTTATCCTCGGGGCCACGGGAAATCAGGGTGGCTCAGTCGCAGAGGTTTTCCTCCAGGAGCCGCAATGGCGTGTCCGTGCGGTGACGAGGAACCCGGCCAGCAAAAAAGCTCAAGCCTTAGCTACCCGCGGTGCGGAAGTGATCCAAGCGGATTTAGATTCGCCATCGACCCTCTCGTCGGCCTTTGAGAACGCGAATGCTATTTTCGCTGTCAGTGACTTCTGGGGTCTATTTGGTGATCCTGCCAACGAAGCCAAGGCGAAGGGTCAGCCGCTCAATGTCTGGGCTGCCAATCATGAGACCGAGCAACTAAAGGCAGTTATCGATGTTGCCGCGAGGATTCCTACGCTGGAGCGCTTCGTGTTGTCATCTCTTTCCGACGCGACGAAGTGGTCCCGGGGAAGATACACGCACGTCTACCACTTCGACTCGAAAGCCAAGGCAGAAGCGTACGGAAGAGAAACCTACCCTGAGCTGTGGAAGAAGACAAGTATCTTCCAGGCTGGGTTTTTCTTGAGCAATTTTGTCTCGAATCCAATGTTCCAGCCCGTGATGGTAAGCTCACTGATCACCTTTACCCGCGGAATTATCTCTAAATCTCTCTAGACAGCGCATGGTACAGTCCAATTCGTTGGGAATTTAGATCCAGACGTTAAACTGCCTTTCATCGCCGCGGAAGAAGATACCGGCCCAATTGTCAAGGCCCTTGTGCAAGAGGGCGCTGGGAAGAACATCATCGGCTATCGGGAATGGAGCTCCTTACGCGAAATTTCGAAGGCATTTTCTCAAGCTACTGGGGCAGAAACAGATTGCATCCAGTTACCAGGAGGGCAATCGAGCGTCCCCCTCCCGAGTGAACTCCAACTTGAATTGGACGACAATTGGGCTTATTGCAACGAGTTTGGATACGAGGGCCGAGATGACCCCACAATCATCCATCCCAAAGAGGTGAGTTCGTTGGCGGTTCTCTTGGTTTTTTTTAATTTCACACACATTGCTGATATTTCAACCTAGTTGGACTCGCTCCTGCAGCTGGACAGTGTGGTAGAGTACTTCAGGAAGCAGGATTGGTCCAATGTCTTCACACAAGGAAATTAGTTTCCCAGAAGCTACTGCACAGGGGCGTCTCCCAATGTAGCCTACCATCTGATGGACGCTTGAATCCTCCATCATTCTTCCCGAAGACACCTTTCGTTCGATGAGACATTGGGATTGAAAAGTGATGAGGCCCTGACTATGTATTCACCTATATGCTATAGTATTGTATCAAATATACACCCCCTATCCTATTTTCTGGCCAATAATGTTTTCCCAATAGCTCCTTGTCGATAAGTATGTTGTCAAATTCGATATTATACCCTTACGTAAAGAGGGCACATACCCGTGGACGGCCAAAGCTGGTCCTTGTGTAGACAACGTACTCCTGCTGATCGTGGTAAGCGCTAACCTTCTGTACAGTGAGCAGACCTAAAAGTTTTATCGTGGCAGCCATCTGAGGAAAAGTATCCCATTTTCTACTACCGCATCGGACAGGAAAGGTGGAGCTGTCCGTTTTCCCCCAGATTTCCCCAGATTTCAAAGACACAACGAATGGGCTGTTGCTCATTCGCCAGTCACCTCCACATGCCTGTCGTCGTCGGCAAACTCTTCCCGCACCCAGTCGGCCAAAATATTGGCCAAAATCTACGGATCGTTAGTATAAAGGGTTTCTGTCAGAAGAGACTGGCCAAAAAAAACAATATAATCTGTCTCAGTCACACGTGTCCACTTTGTCTCATCTCTTGTAGTTCTATTTTCTGTGCAGTTCGATACCCCCTTCATGATGGATCATTCTAAAAGAGATCGACTCAACACAGAGACAGTCTCTACACTGTGATTAGAAATCATTGTCCATGGATAACCTCAAGCTCAGACCACGAACCAATAATCAGTTAGTTGTGGGTCGATATTCTAATCAGTTTTTGCCTGTTTACTCATCATACCGAGAGATAGCATGCTATTTATATTATCGAGGAAGGGAGAGGAGAAATATATATTCATCCATGAAGAAAATCGAGATAAGAGAGGACGCCTCGTCTCGTCTCACAGCTACAACGAAGCTCAGGATATTCACGTCCTTTTTCTTATAGTTGATCTACCCCTACCGAAGAGTCACAATGCAACCCATAACCCTCTACTTCCACGGCTCTAGTCCAAATCCCTGGAAAGTAGCTATGATCCTCGAAGAGCTGAACCTCCCTTATATCAAAAAGGACGTCTCCTTCACCGAGATTAAAAAAGAACCTTACGTGCTCATAAACCCTAACGGCCGGCTTCCGGCAATCCAAGACCCTAACACGGATCTGACACTTTGGGAATCTGGCGCAATCATTGAATACCTCGTTGAAACCTATGATACGAATCACAAAATTAGTTTTGAGAGGGGCAGTGAGGCGTACTTCCACGTGAAACAGTTCCTGCATTTCCAAGTGAGCGGGCAGGGACCATACTTCGGGCAGGCGCTCTGGTTTCTCTACCAGCATCCGGAGAAAGTTGTTTCAGCGCAGGAGCGGTATATCAATCAGGTGAAGCGCGTAACAGAGGTATTGGACAGTGTCCTCGAAGGGAAGGAGTATCTTGTTAGCGAGAGGTTTAGTTATGTTGACGCGGCGTTTGTACCTTGGTACGAGCCTGTTCCCTCTGTTTCAGGGAATGCCATTGATCTTGAGGAACTCTTTCCAAATGTGAGGAGCTGGTTGGAGAGGGTTCGCAGGAGGCCGGCGATTGCGAAAATTTTGGGAGAGAGGGATAAGGCTTTGGCTGCTGAGGCTGCGGAGAAGAAATAGTGGGTGTTTAAATTCTTTTTATTCCTGCTACAACTAGCCGTATAACTAGGAAATACCGTCACCTAGCTATGGTTGGCCATGGCAGCCATCTCACACCTCAATCCAATCAGATATGCAGTGAAAGTCTTATTCTTGCTATTCGCAAACCTGCTTATTCTTCCCACAAGTTCCAGCTTTTAGGTGTAGGTTGATTTTTCGCCTCTAAAGCGTGCAGGAGATCTCTGGATATCTTTTGACAGGCGAACAGAAATTGCAGTGAAGGCCTAGCCTACTGGTAGTCTATCCATTAGGACTAATTTCAATTCTGTACTTAGGTGGGAGCTTCGGATCTCAATGCCAAACCCTCTATAGGGACTTTCCCTTTGAAGATAATGCATGGAGGAAGCGTCGATACCCTCCAATGAAATCTGATGCTGCATTGTAAGGATTTGTACGCGGTTAATCCACTTTTTGATAAGCTTAGGGTCATCACATTGGGTACGTCGATAATCATAGCGGTGAGTCTAGTGGGTTTTCAGTTCATCACATCATTTAATGAACTTAAGAGACCCAGTTCTCTTCAACTGTCTGAATAGGTGTCGTACCGCGCTCAGCAAGAAGAATATTAGCCATTCTCGCATATGCGATAATCGGGAAGGCGCTGGTGGAAAATATTCCTGTCTGGACTGCGATTGGTTTATATAAGATATCATGCAACAGATATCAAGAAGCCTAAGTAATTAGACACTATAAGATATCGAGCAGCAAACAGCTGTACAATATCTACATTACATACTCTATGCCTTGGTAGTCAATGTTCAGGTACCCCACTACAACAGGTTATAACCGCCAAATAGCCATACTCCTTTCTGCTTGACGCATAAGGCAGAAAATCATTGGTTTCATTGTACAGTAGATGATGATGATGATAATGATGATTTCATTTACCCTGACCCCTCACTTTAACGGTGATATGCAGGATACGACACCTATATATATCCCTTTGCGTACATCTAGAATGTCCAAATTTCTGACAATGAACTTAGAGCCTCGTCACGGCCTACCGTGGCCTAATTGCCGTTCCTATTATTAGGCTGTCCTCGTGGCGCGCGGCTGCGAAACTGTTGTCAGTTGCTGTTGGATGGTGAATACAGTAACAAACCAAAGTGCGCCGTATTCTAATGTAAGCATAATACGTACGATGTGGTATTTTAATTACCTCAGTTCCCTCAGCCGCCCCCAAAAAGGCGGTGAATCTGGCAATCCACCGCCTGCTGTCTTCAGCGATGCTGACACATCTTTTTGGGGAGTCGTCTGAGCGGCGAATGTTATGGTACACATACTAAGTCGCGTTATTTTTGATGGTCATTTTACGCGACAAAATTCACTTGTTCCACATTTTCTCAACAACCAACGCAAATATCAAAATTCAGGCGACGATGTCTTCTAGATATTGAGAGGCGCTATCTGTTGGTATGAGACACATTCCCAATTTCCCAACATTAAGGTAAAATTACGGTACCTAACGCGTGAGACCACTTAATAGGTGGCTTGGAAAAAACTCGCCGCGATTTGACGCGACAAGATCCGGTTTTCTGCATTTTTCTCAACAACCAGCGGCAATATCAAAAATTTGGCGACGATGTCCTCTGGAAATTGAGAAGCGCTATCTGCTGGTATTAAAATCGGTCCCAATTTCACAAAATCAAGGTATAATAATGGTACCTAACTCCACCGGCTCTTTATTGCGAACGGACAACCCAATAGCTCCCCTTGCGGTTTTCTGGCCCTATCATGCTAATATTTAGCCTTAGCCTCTAGTCAAGTGGACATTGAAATATTAAGCGTAACCATTGGGCTTTTCCACCAATGGCCCGTCGAAAAGTCCGAATTACTCCTTCCTCCAAACGGCGTCCTAGTGGACGGAACCCTTACGGTGTTGCAGCACTAGGCAATGAGCAGACAACCTTGGATAAATGGTTAAGCTCAAGCAGCGCAGCACAATTGCCATCATCACTAATTAACGCACAAGAGATCATCCAAGATGCCCAAGTGAAGGAGGAGAAGGAACAGCATGCTGCCATCATTGCAGCTATAAAAAAACTCTATACCTTTCCCCCTTGGAATGGTCAGCGAGAAGCGCTCCATCACCTTGTCTTTCTCCGTAAAGATATGATTCTTATAGCAAAGACATCATTTGGAAAGAGCATGCTCTTACAAGCAGTATCTCTTCTCCTCGAGAAGGCAATCACACTCATTGTGCTTCCATTGAATCAGATTGGTATTGAGCAAACTGAATATATCAGAAGTCTTGGTGGCAGACCCTGTTTCCTCAATGCTGATACCACTTCCGCAGAACTCCTCGATGAAGTCAAGGTAGCTAAGTATACCCATGTTCTGCTTAGTCCAGAGCTTGCAATTGGGGATAAATTTCGCGCTGTCGCCTGCCATCCACAGTTCCGTGAACGTCTCCGTCTTGTTGCAGTTGATGAGGCACATTTGGTTGCGCATTGGGGCCGCGCTTTCCGGACAGACTATGCCCGAATGCAGCAGTTGCGCGCATTATTAGGAAAGAACGTTCCTTGGTTTGCACGCTCAGCAACGTTGGATCAAGCTACCTTGGAGACTGTGAAGCAAGGATGTGGGTTCTTACCCGATGTGAAAGTTCAACGAACCTCTATTAACCGGTCAGAGTTGGTTCTCCGTTTGGGCAAGATACCAAAGAATAAACGCCGAGCTTTTACTGCCCTACGTTTCCTGTTCAAGGAAGGAGGAGGGTTTCGTGCTGCTCGCGAGTCTGCACATTTAAATATCCCCAAGACAGTTGTGTTCTTTGACACTAAGAAGGAAACATATTTAGCACTGGAGAAATGTCGCGAATGGCTGGAGAAGAGTGATAAGCACCGATACACCGCTCGGCAGATTCAGTGCACGATCTTGCCAGTGGTAGCAGAGATATGTTGAGAGTGGTCCCGAAGAGTTTGATGACGGACATTTTGATTGTAATCGAAATTGTCCCAACATATAACAAAATTGCCACGAGAAGACAGAGCAGCTTCCTTGAGTTGTGTCTGTAGTACTATTAGCTACGAAGAGCCAGGTACTAAGGGAAATACGGTGAATTATTGGACAACCTTCCCTAACTGAACTAGTTCACTGCGTCGACTCATGATTGTCGTGTAATGAGGAGTAACCCCCAAGCCATGAAGAAGATTGATCGTACGCCGTTTCACACCCATAGAATGTAAATGGAGACCAAGCAGGACAAGGAATTTATTACAGGTCCGGGGAGCAAAGGCTGAGGCCAACATCGTGCAAATCATAAAGATACTGCCCTGATACTCCTGAGATGTATCACGAGCACTTGGACGCTGCTGTGTCATGATACAGACAAGGAGAGCCCATAAGGTAGGAGCAGTGGATCGCACACGTGAAGCCATCTCAGGCATATGCAGTTGATCGACTGTCTCATCTGTGACGAATTGACCAAGCCCAACTTCAGGTTTATCAAACTGGGCAAGCTCTTTGCGAATGAGCCCGACCAGCTTTGAGTGCCTTAATGACTCAGCATTCTCAGGGACCTTGTGCAGTTCAGCCATCACCTCCTCTTGCTCATATATGGCTTCAAATAGCTTCCGTGCCCGGTACTCAGTTGACCAGGCATGTTTCTCTTCAGGCTGCGCCGTTACCAGGTGGTAATGGAAGGATTTGAGGCCCCAGCGATGCTGCTCATGCAGCTGCTGTAGCACCATATCTACCCGCTGTCGGTCGGATAATCCAGGAATGTATTTGTAGTTGCTTGGTAGATCTTGCGGCACACTTCGCGTCCGCATCACGGGTGGAGGTGAATGACATGCGCGTTTTCGAGACATAGCGGTCGATTTTTGGTGAGTTTGATGAGAGTATACTGATAGCAACCGTTAGATACGCCAATACCTAGCATATAAAGGCGTACCTTACGTGAATAGCGGGGGATTAAAGAAGATTGCCGCGAGACAGTATGGGGAAGACGCGCTCAGCGCTCAGACCATAGAGCAGCAAGCAATCCGATTAGGTTTAGCGTGCCAAAAATCCGGCAGAATTATTGGATCATGTGATATGGTCTGAGGGCACTGAGGTAACCCGATACTGCCTCAAGTTAGGCATCTATACTTCGCGCTTCATCTTGAACCAGAGAATGCTAAATCATAAATCGAGCCATCAGATGCCCCTGCGAGAGATTTCATTCGATGTCAATGTTTCTATCTGCTCTGATATACACAAGTCTGCAAGAGTAGGAAACTGCGGATGTCAACAGTCAACAAAAATACGGTATCCGGTAAAAGAGGATAGTTCATAACGTGACCGAAATTGATGGTCAGAACTCCCCCAAAATCATGGCAAATTGACCAAGACAAGGGGTGCATGCATCATAAGCGTGAGTTAGAATGCTAGGCGGATCTTGTATGCCGCTTCAGCCAAGTTTCCTCGAAGGCCAGGCATTTTGCCCCGAAATTCCCTTCTCCGCAACATGTAACTCACCCCATTGTCCTGTTCCTCCTCGGTGGCTCTTGAGTTAAATAAGACAGAGCCAAAGTGGTTAATGCCTAGCAAATGTATAAAACCCTACTTTAGCCAGGCTCAGGAAAAGAAAGGTACGGTTTTCCCTTTCCCAAACAACGGATATAACGACTTTTTGGCTTGGGAGCAAATATCAAAAATTCGGGAAAAGATGTATATTGAGGTGATTTTTCAACTAGTTACATCCGCAACAGCATCTTTTTGCTGTGGAACAAGTCTTCTTCTTTGGCTCCTGTCTATCAAGGCCTTCAGCCAACCAAGATTGAGCAGAGAATTTCTCATCTCCAGCCAACTTATTATAGGCAGTGCCGCCTTCTTGGGACTGATCGCATCTATTCCGCTCGTATTGTTTGAATTGAAGTGGACGAAAGGTAAAAATCCAAGCTCCCTTTTCTCTATTCCTATCGTACCTAACTCTATTCCAGGCCTATCTTGGCCAATACTACAGCAGGAGATTGGCAGTGTATTTCTTCTCCTCAATTTAAATGAGGTAAGGGCATTGAATTTCAAAGAGAGTGACACTGATCTCTCCAGTACCTAAGTGTTTCTACTTTGCAATCCTCGTTAACCCATATAATATCTGCCATATTATTGATGGGAACAATTACTATTCTGTCACTTTCCTTGTATTTTCCGGTGCGATTCGACTGATACTTCCTTGGCTACCGTGCGTGCTTAATTGACCAAAAATGCAGGAGCACCACAATGCTTTGTTTTCTTCATATATGATCATCAGCTTGGCTAGTCTCAGCTTCGTCCATGCCCAAATTATTCGAGCTTGGGTCATTTGCTTGAGGCCATGGCATATGCAAACAAGTACTTTCAAATTGTTTTGGCGAAGTCCGGACCTCAAAACTGCCAGGCACCAACGAGCCTTGTGGGGAGCTTCCATTGGTTCAATGGGGCTGCTTCTTGTTTTATTAGGCTTGACAATCCTTGCCTGTATAAAAGCCAACCTGCAGACTCAGATTGTGACGGTACGTGCATTGACTAGTCCATCATCATACACTGCTTACATGCTGCATAGCTCCAGATTGCTACAATAAGCCTAAGAAAGGCGGCAGTTTCATTCTACCTTTTCCGAGCCCCGGAACGCAGTATGGATGTCTTACTTTCGCATGGACACGTTCAACAATAAGAACAGAATATAGAGTAGCGTGTGAAAGACTACAGCAAAGGATACATCTGTGTCACATAAGAGAAATTCAAGACTATCATCAGTTATTAAAATGCAGTGAAGAGATGGGAGAGTCAGTTGCTCGCATTTTTTAACTGCTGCCTCTGAATCTTGGTAAAATACCTAGAACACATGTCTCATGTGCTTATGCCTTCACGGTGTGGCCGTCCGAGTCATATGCATCTCCATCTATTGGACGCGCACCAAATACCCCGCTCTGGTCAATGTTGCTCGAAAGTTAGGTATTTTGCCCAAGGACCACCTGTCCGTAAAAAGCGACACATCTATCCGTCCTTTTTCCCTTTGAATTCTCTGCACAGACCCAGTAATGACAGTCAGTGACAGGTTTCCCCTCTTCAACTGAACAGATTTTGACGCACTCAACCGCATGTATGCTGAGTTTTCAAGCAGTGGTCCGCGAAGGAAAGATATGAGTTCATCCACACCCAAAATGGTGAATGTGGCATGCATTAGTCCCCACCAGAGACGGATGGACACAGGCTAGTGCACAAGTTATCACAGCGCTAAGGAGATTTTAAGTCACATTTCTCTACGACATTCAACTGCAAGCTGGAAACCACGTCAGCTAGCGTGATAGTGGACAGAGCCGCATTTTGAGCCTAGCGTCCCTCTGGTTCAATCTCTTCTCCTTCGACCTCCTCTTCCTTACAAATCGCAGATAATCATAGAAAGATCCATCAGGAATTGAAGGCAGTCCAGAGATTGTTGAAGAGAGGGAGCACAGGTCAAAGAGTTCTGCCGAAACAATACCAACATTCCTTGCAAAGGTGCGGGCTTGGCGCCTTACACTTTGGCGTTATTTTCGGACGTATCCGAGGGGATTCATCGGTTTCACCAAGCCACCCAGCCCATTTCTTCAGCTGAGCCTTCTGTTTCCATCAAAGCAGTCGCTGTCTCGGCTTCCATTGTTATCCCTGACCTTCATATTCCTACCATTCAGGAAGGCGGCGCCGGGAAGGTTTGTGGGAGTAACTTTCGGATTCTTTGAGACGGTGTCAATAGGATGGGAGGGAGGCGGGGTAACGTCAAATATCGAGAGAATCTCGTAGGGACTGGGCTTGTCCTGGAAAGGATTCTATGGTCGAAATGATTCCATGCGAAAACTCAAGTTCGACATATAGTATATGAGAGACGGCTAAAAAGCCTTCGGGATGCGGTGACTGTCGTCACTCATAAAAAGGGAAACTGGCAGAGAACAGGGAGCAGGGGACCGGGGAGGAGGAAAATTTGAAGATGATTCGAATTCCAGTTCTGCCATTTTGGTGGAATTGTAGTCTCTCTTATAGACGATGGTTGCCTATGAGGCGTCGGAGCCCTCCTTCTACCAAGCACAGATGATCTCGAACTAGATCCTGCAATCGAGGCTATTGCATCCATGGAAGTGAGACCATGCTAGTTTCACAGCCAACAACCACGGGCCATAGTTCACTTGCAAGGATTCCCGCTACGCTCGCTGATGACCCTTGCCATGCCCACACTAGTCATCAGCCCGTTCTAAGCCGTTTCTCCATTAGGGAAGTGATGGTATGATCATGATATAGTTTCGCAGTCGCTGTCTAGCATTGGCCGCAAGATGCAGCACCGACCGAGATTAGGGGTGTGTGCGGTATTTTCGCTATTGGCCTATATCGCCGGGCTGTGCTTTCGAATATTTATTGACTGGGTGTAGCGGGAACCGGAGAGACCGGCGATGACGACAACTGGGTCGTATTCGTGGCCAGGCAACCGAGAGCCATTCTGTGACGCCGGGGCTGTGCAGTGTAATCTCGGATAGAGCGGACGAAGCGGGGAATGCGGCATCGAGGGTACACCGGCGCTTTACAGATGTGAAGGAGGCCGGCGGTACCAGAGACGAACAAGGCTCACTGGCAGAGGAAAACCTAGATAGCTTCGTAGCATGGTACACAGTCACTCCCTTGGGGAAGGAGTAGGAGTATCGAACTGAAGCCACACGATACCGCTGCGGGCTGGATCATTCCAGTGGTTCTGCTTCTGTGCAATTACCATTCCAGCCCGAGGAGCGAGAACAAGCTGGGGTTCGGATCGAGCGGCATCTCCAATAAAAAAGGGGCAGTGCGTCGGGCTGCAAGCCAAGGCGTAATGGTCGGTGGGGGCGAAAGGGAAAGAAAGGGGGCGGCGATGAGTGCAAGATAGAGGAGTTCCAGGGAAGGGAAGAAGGAGAAGAGAGGTCGAAAGGGCGAGGTCGCGTCTTTTATGTCGAGGCGACGTCGGGAGAGGTTACAAAACAGCGTATTGGGGCGCTAAACCTAAAAAGGCAAAACTAACCGAATACAGTAATTCACAGGTCCGCCGTTTACACATAAAATACACTCTGTATAATTCTTGTTTTATTAAATTCTTATGTAACTAACTAACAAAAGTTGAGGTGTCTCTATCAATTCCCTGATCAGCCTGAGCTGATCAGGGCCGTGCTCAATTCTATTCAGTGAGCAAAAGCGGCGAGGGGGTGAGCACTAGAACGGAAGGAGAGCGCCAAGTCGCCAGACACAATCCGGTACATATGCAGCAATATAGACTGGATAATGTCTGGCGGGTGGGGCTTTCCTGTCTCGGCTGCCGCCGCTTTTGTGAGGGCGCTCAGGCTCAGGCTCACTGAGTAGATATCAGCACAGGCTCAGACTCAGTGATCAGGTCAGTGGGGTCATGTGAGGAATGTGTAACGCTCAGTGATCGCTCAGTGACCAACCAGTGGTCGTTCAAATTCGCTCAGTGATCATCCAGTGTTTAGTCATACCAAGACTAGTTATTTTTCTATGTTCAATACCTAGATCTCAACACAAATTAACTGGACAGACTATCCTTCACGGTAGTGTCTGGCGCTCCTTGTATTCAGACTCTGTGACGGTTTTTGTTGTCGCAAATTGAGGGTAGCAGCCACGCCAGTAACAATCGTAGCCAGAAGGACAAAGAAAGACGTCTTGCTTCTCGACCGTGGAACAATGTCCGTCTGTATACATGACGTTCCCAGGACGTGCCAACCCCCACTCTCCCCATTGTTGCTCTCCAGAATCGAGGCCATCACAGTGCAGAGAAAAGCATAAGATATCTTGCAGAAGAAGCCTAACCGATCCATCATAGTGCTCAGAACAGTCGTTTTCTGGATCATTCGCATCAAAATCACAGTCGATTATGGTGACATATCCGACCAGGCCAGACTTGCTGCCCCGCTCTGGCGGCGGCTCTGAGCTTGCCAAAATAGACCGGATGGCGCGGTCACCCAGAATAATGCAGTAGTCAAATCGAGGGGTTCCAAGGTTAAAATCGTACCCCCGCGCTTCGACCCACTGTTTATGTCGCTTGCGAATGGTAGCTACTGACGCGCCTTCTAAATCTGGATCTTGAACAATCAAATTTCGATAGCCCTCGCGAACAAACTTAGGGATATCAAACTGAGGTCGGAAATCTTCCAGGGCTTCAGAGCTGGCTATGCTAGAATAGCTGTATCTATCAAGCTTCTTGATTGCGGCATCCCAGTCCTGATCAGAAGTGGCCGTGAAGCTTGTGCGATAGATAACAAACCCCCACGGCCAGCCTCCGGTGTGTCTAGACTGATCCTTGAAGAATCGAGCAAGTATATCGTTGCAGACGAGGTGCCATTCCGGCAATTTTCGAATCCGCCAGCTTGTTTGATGGGGGTTTCCCCCGGTGGAATTTGAGATGAGCGCCATGGCGTAGCCCACGAGTCGTCGTGAAATGGGTCCATGTTTTCCGACAAGATCAATTGAGTCAAATAGTCAAATTTGGGCTCGAGGGCGGGTTACTACAGTAGTATTTATCGTCGTTAGAGTAAGTGGCGGAACATGTGACTTCACGTGATGCTATCTTTGCACGTGACAAATCTAGGTCGGAGAAAGGTAACCCCGAGGTCCGAGGAATACAATTGTTTTGACAGCGAATATAACACACCTCCATTCCTCCCCCGCGGCAAGTTTCGGCTAATCATGATTTTGTTCAGATCTCGTTGCAGAAGAACTACTCGCCCATTCAAATCAATATTGAGAATGTCATCCTCAGCACGAGAATCCCTCTGCCATGCTTGTAGTGTGGTGACCAGGTTTTCTGCCTGCGTGCCGTCCGCGGGGTACTAATTTTGTTAGGTCATAGTGGTTCGAGAGTTTGTAAAAGTACGTATCTCTCAGTCAATATCGAGTTCATCCAGGCCAAGGTCCTTCACTAACGCGACGGCAGAGGATACGAATTAAAGGGCCATCTCGTCTTGGTATAGAGTCGGCTTCTCCAACCGATGTTCACAAAGAGCTTCGAGCATAGGTGGCGTGATACTGCGCGGGCGTCCAGCGCCATTGCGGGTGGCTCTCACGTCTCCAAACACTTGCAGGTTAGAGCGAATGTGGAGTATAGATTGCTTGCTACAATCAGCGGCGTAGGCCATCTGAGACGTTGTTAGCGAGTTACTCTGGATCATATGATGGATAAGCTCAAGTTGTGGCGGCTTCAAGTTCGGTGCCATCTTGGCTTGGTGTAACGTGAAGCGTCTGTTAGTGCTACGTGGACTCTCGGCGCGAGATCGGCAGCCCCAAACGGACCGACAATAACCCGAGCTAAAGACATCTTTTCGATGCTTCGAATGGCGCGCAAGTTTGCATAGTTTGGGCCGGCGCGGGCCGACACTGCTTCCGATGGCGGAGCCAGAAGCCACGTACCTGTGGATGGAGTTCCACAAAATCCCTGAGACATATGACGTGCGCACAGGGCGACGTTCGAAGTATTCACTGCGTTCCTTGAATTGATGTATACTGAAAGTCACTGTTGAAAATAGAAAGGAAATGTGGTTCTATCAATTACAAGAATGCTATAGTAGTTGATGTCACATGATGGCGGGGCTAGGCTGACACGTAGACACGCTTACACACTGTCACCTAAGGACAAGTAACCCCGCATGTTACTCCTGATGGCCAACAGATCGTTAACTTCGTGATCCATGGACTCAACGATCTCATTTGTTGGTCCCAATTATGGATCGGAAATAGGCATTAACCATGGTTCTATCACGAACGAGTTTCATCTTCCTCGGGGTAACTAAAAAGAGTACTTGTTAAGTGTCGATCGTTCTAACCTTTGTGCAGACCTTAATCAATTATTACCTATCGTGCCTGGGGCTGCATTCAACTCATATGCAGATCAACATAAAGATAAATGTCTCCCAGGCACACGAACCGATATTATCGATCAAATCAAAGAATGGGCTTCGTCACCACACGGGAAATGCATGTTCTGGTTGAATGGTCTAGCTGGGACAGGAAAATCGACTATCTCTCGAACCATGGCGGAATCCTTCAGCCAGTCTAACTCCCTAGGAGCAAGCTTCTTCTTTGAGAGAGGTGAAGGAGACCGAGGGAATGCCAGAAAGCTTTTTCCAACAATCGCAAGGCAACTAGCGATTAGCATTCGCCAGTTGAAACCATTCCTCCAGGAAACTGTCCATGGTGACCCGGACATCGCCGAAAAGGCAATAAGAGAGCAATTCGAAAAACTCATTCTCCAGCCACTACAAAGCCTCGAGCGATCCGATGTCCCAATCCAAACCATGGTGATAGTGATTGACGCACTGGACGAATGTGAGGGAGATAATGATATTCGGCTTATACTTCAACTTCTCCCACAGCTACAAAACATTACTGCTATGCGTCTACGAGTGCTTTTGACTAGCCGGCCTGATCTACCGATCCGTCTTGGATTTTTAAAGATTGCAAGCGATGACCATAAGGACCTTGTTCTCCATGACATCCCTATGGACGCGATCAAGCATGATATATCATTGTTCTTTGATTATCGACTCGCTGAGATTAGAACAGAACGCTCTCTACCTGCAGACTGGCCTGGTGACAGAGATCTTCAGAGGCTAGTGGCATTATCCGTTCCCTTGTTCATTTTCGCTGCTACTATCTGTCGCATATTCGAGGACCCGAATTGGGACCCAACTGAAAGTCTCACGGAGATCCTTTCACGATCAAAAGGTCAATCAGAGCTAGATAGGACTTATCTTCCGGTTCTTAGCCGCCTTCTTAGCGGACAGCATGAACAACAAAAAGAAAGATTGGTCTCAGAGTTCCAACAAGTGATCGGTGCCATCGTGATACTAGAAAGCCCACTCTCAGTGATCTCACTATCAAAGCTTTTGGATGTTCCTGAAAGCCTGATACATCTTCGTCTAAACCAGCTACACTCGGTGCTTCAAGTGCCAGATAGCGAGGTAGTTCCTATACGCCTCTTTCACCTGTCATTTCGTGACTTTCTTCTCAATCCGGAGACCCGCAGCAAAACACCTTTAGGGGCGAATGAGACAGAGATGCACTACAGGCTTGCCAGGCAATGTCTGCTGATGTGTCAAAATCTTCGGAAGAATATATGTAGACTACCAAGTGATGGAACCCTTCGTGCTGAAGTTGATCGTCGGACAGTTGATACCTACATTCCCCCTGAGTTGCAGTACGCCTGTCGATACTGGGCATATCATCTAGATAAATGCGGGGACTCGAGTGATATGGTTTATAATGCTCTGTTATTTCTCCAGAGGCAATTTTTACGGAAGCATTTTCTACACTGGGTGGAAGCAATGAGCCTACTTGGTCTCACGTCGGACATGTTAAGTATTCTTGATCGCCTTCAAATAGCCTTATCGGTAAGTTTGAAGACCGTCATACACAAGGTCCACACTGACAGCTTTAGGACAAGAAATTTTCCCTAGTTTCGGCCTTTTTTCAAGACGCAAAGCGCTTTTTTTGAAATATCGCCAGATAGTTGATGGAGCGCCTCTTCAGGTTTACTGTGCCGGACTTATATTTGAACCCCAAACGGCAATAATTCGAAGAGAGTTCAGACGAGAGCTCCCAACTTGGATATGCCAGTTTCCACGAGTTGAAGAAAATTGGGGTGCAGAAATACAGACACTCGAAGCCCATTCGGGTTCGGTCCGGTCGGTGGCCTTCTCGCCTGACGGCCGGCTGCTGGTGTCTGGCTCTGGTGATATGACGGTGCGGGTCTGGGACCCGGTGACAGGCGCTCTCATCCAGACACTCGAAGCCCATTCGGGTTCTGTGCATTCGGTTGCCTTCTCGCCCGACGCACGGCTTCTCGCATCTGGCTCTTACGATCATAAAGTGCGGCTCTGGGACCCAGCGACAGGCGAGCTCGCCCAGACGCTCGAAGGCCATTCGGGTTCGATCCAGTCGGTAAGCTTCTCGCCCGACGGCCAGCTGCTGGTGTCTGGCTCTAATGATCGGACGGTGCGACTCTGGGACCCAGCGAAAGGCGCGCTTATCCAGACGCTCGAAGGCCACTCTAGTTGGGTTCGGTCGGTGGCCTTCTCGACCGACGGCCGGCTTCTCGCTTCTGGCTCTAATGATCAGACAGTGCGACTCTGGGACCCAGCGAAAGGCGCGCTCATCCAGACGCTGGAAGGCCACTCTAGTTGGGTTCGTTCGGTTGCCTTCTCGCCTGACGGCCGGCTACTGGCATCTGGTTCTAATGATATGACAGTGCGGCTCTGGAACCCGACTACAGGCGCATTCGTCCAGAAGCTTGAAGGCCATTTGAGTTGGGTCCAGTCGATTGCCTTCTCGCCTGACGGTCAGCTGTTCGCGTCTGGCGTCGGTGATAGGACGGTACGGCTCTGGGATATCCCGACAGGCGCGCTCGTCCAAACATTCGAAGGCCATTCGGGTTCGGTCCAGTCGGTTTCTTTCTCTCCCGACGGCCGCCTTCTGGTGTCTGGCTCTGAAGATCAGACAGTGCGGCTTTGGGATCCGGCGATACGCACGCTCACCCAGACACCCGAAGGCCATTCGAATTCTGTTCAGTCGGTGGCCTTCTCGCCCGACGGCCGGCTTCTCGCGTCTGGCTCTAAGGATCAGACAGTGCGGCTCTGGGACCCGGCGACAGGAGCGCCTATCCAGACACTTGAAGGCCACTCTAGTTGGGTTCGTTCGGTTGCCTTCTCGCCTGACGGCCGGCTGCTGGTGTCTGGCTCTGGTGATATGACAGTGCGGTTCTGGGACCCAACGGCAGGCACGCTTACCCAGACACTCGAAGGCCATTCAGGTTCGGTTCAGTCGGTGGCCTTCTCGCCTGATGGCCATCTGCTAGCCTCTAGCTCCGAAGATCAGACAGTGCGGCTCTGGGACATAGAGACAGGTTCGCTTACCCAAACGCTCAAAGGTCATTCAGATATGGTTGAGCCGGTTGCCTTCTCGCCCGACGGCCGTCGGTTGGCGTCTGGCTCCTACGATCAGACTGTACGGCTCTGGGACACGGCGACAGGCGCGCTTATCCAGACACTTAAAGGCCACTCTAGTTGGATTGATTCGGTTGCTTTCTCGCCCGATGGCCGTCTTCTAGCGTCAAGCTCTGCTGATTGTACAGCGCGGCTCTGGAACCCAGTGACGGGCGCCCTCATTCAAACTTGGAATATTGAAAATTTCTTGACTACGCTAGAATTTTCCTACAGCGGTATTCATATCTATACCACGTTCGGCGCTCTTGAAATAAAATCCAAGTTTGACATTTCAATGTTACATCCACCTCGTGCAAATCTGGGTATCTCTATTGAGCATGGGCAATGGATAAAATTAAAGGGTGAGAAGGTTCTCTGGCTACCTGTAGAGTCTCGACCCAGGTGTCTTAAGACAAAGGGTAATACACTTGCCATGGG